ACGTTATCCGAACATTTATCAACTCTTCACTTGTCTTTTAGAATTGCACTCGGCTGCTGACATAAGGTTTTCTCTGCAAGTCATCAATAACAGCGGAACGGTGACACTGCGGGTGATCGAAGGTACATGCTTCCTCAATGGCCTTCTGATGTGCGATGAAGCCGAGTTGCACCAAGGTAAAGCATAGAAGAAACAGATAACTTATATAATATTATTGGAACACAATAAGGATTCCGCCGGGTGAATACTTGTTCTGCATTTAATCGTAGTGACGGCTTTAGAAGATACACTCACAATGGGTGTGCTCTCATTCTTTAAAAAAATCCAATGGATAGCAAAATTTCAGATACCGTAGAGTTTGATGCAATGAATCGAATAGTTTTGGTTCGAGGATGCTGTGATGTAGTGTTCATCACATATTCTCAATCAAATCTGCACTCTCATTTTTTCGCAATCTGGTAATGACATCGCTGTATGAAACAAGGTAACGCCATTCCTTTGTAGTATGAATGACCAATTTCAGAGCCCGTTCGAATGGGAAACATTAGTGAGGTTTTGCATTCCGAATTTCGGTTCTGCGTTTTTCGGTCATTTGTCGAACATCAAAATGTCGAATTTTCGTGCCAAGGTTTGTTTTGCAAGTCGAATATGATCCGATGTGTTTTCATTTTGTGAGCTCCAGCATCAGCACCGTCCTGTCCCGTGCTCCTTTTCTTGCTGATTCCAACGAACTTTGATCGCCCAAAGAGTCGAGGGCCAAACCTGCCTCCTCAGTCGCCTCAGAAAAAGCAACTCCATGGCCAAGTCAAATTTTATGCGTATCGCCATAGTCTTTTCAGCCACGCAGATGACGGTGAGGCGACTCCAGGCGAAAGCGAGTAGACAGGCAGTGGAGAGGAACAATCAGAGGTAGCTGCGGGTCGGCTGCGGACAGCCACATTGCCTTGTTTCAAGGGGAAAACATAGTTGCCAGAATTTGAGGCAAAATGATACAGCAACAGTTAGTGCAGAATGACCACCCAGATAAAATAAATAAAATAGAACTCAGGTAGAATAAGGACACTTTTCTGGTGCCGCTGTACTCCAAGATCAGCGCTGCAACTCGCCATGGTGATAATGTGGCTGACGTCATGTTACCAAGGAAAACATGGCGTTTGGCCGTGTTCGCCGCACTCAAGCGCTCAGCTTTTTTTCACAATCTTGTTTTGAAAAAATACTTCAAGTCTTTTGCAGCACCTTTGGAGGCCAGTCACATCGCGATCTGTACGAGAATCTTTATCATGGCCATTGTCTTGTGTCGTTTTGAGCTCGAATAGCTTTCTCTGATGAAGGATTCAAATACCATGACGTTCTCTTTTATCGTGGGCATGAAGCTCCCCACTCGCAGCAGGGATGACATCGGACGGCATAAATGTGTCGAGTCCCGAGCAGGAGTTCTGCTGACAAAAGTGATTAGCTCCTCGCGACCTGGGGCATGTGAGGACTACAGTTCTAGTTGGGCAATACCCCACGGACACATCTAGCTCGAAGCGCAGAGTCGATTGAGAAAAATGACCAAGATCATAAAGAAGGCTTGTTTGCTTCCACAAAATGTTTTATTAGCCGAGTCCACGCACTGAAAACTGCACTTGCATTGTTCCTGTCCAGTCATAGAGTACATCAGTGCAGTACAGAGTGCACTTGCAAGCCACAACGACACGAGCACAGTCGCGTGTACAGACTCAGTTGTGACCAGCGATCGCGCGTGGGAGTCAAGTACCCTACTCAAGTGCGCATGCTCGGCTCGCTGCATGCACTGTCTGTAGATCTACAGTAGATTGCTGGTGTGATGCACTACATGTACAGCGCAGTAATTTATGTGTAAGAGACAATGTCGGCTATTTTGAAACGGCAATGACAGCTTCATCCATAAACGCGGAGCGTGGGGAATGTCTTTGGCGAATAAGAGCTGTTGCATTGGCTAGCTGTACATCCCAGCAAGTGGGAATGTGCTGGATATCGATACTAAATACCCGTTCATCGCGGTGGTGAGTCTGAACAGACCCCGAGGTACGACAGCTTCGTATACTAAATGTGTACAGTGTGTATGGTGAAACAATTCGATACTGGTTTCCAGCGAAATGTTGTTATCTATGTACAATATCCACCAATATCCTTTATCTAGGGCCCAAAGGCTATCCAGTTCAGCAGGATTTGTGGCCTTACTATATTTCGTTTTCTCCGCGTTTTGGGTTGAAATCTGAACATAAAAAGTAGCACTGATGACGTCATTCAGCTCATAATTTAAATTTGATATTGGAAATCGATGACAACTAACCCATTGTATCAACACAGAATATTTGGTTGAAAAATATTAATGTATGCCAAAGTTATTACAAATACAAGTTTTGTACACACATGATCACCTTATTATACCTGAGAACTTCAGGGATGAATTTATCCGGTATCGCATCGCAGTTTGCGATTCAAAATCGATCGAGTGCGACTCAAAAATCACAGCGACTCGCAGGAAACTGCGATGCATAAACGGCACTGCATACTAGCTCGCGCAGTCAGTAAAAGTGATGCTGTGACTATGTCGTACACTCACGACACCTGTACAGTGCACGGACCCCGTTTTTTTCTCGGGAAGGTGTGATTTCTAGTAGTGTTGAAACGAATAATCGAATAATCGAATAATTTAGAATATTCGTGGGGTGAACGAATAATCGAATAGTCGTAGGAATTATCAGAAATCGAAAAAAAAAAAAAAAAAAAAAAAAATCTATGCTCAGTGCTGACCCTACTGATATTTGCACGGCGTAGATCTGCTCGCAGTATTTCTTCTCAATCTCTTTTCCTCTCTTTTAATCACCTATCGGTATCTAGTAATACTTCTGTTCTTTCCATACGAGGGAAACATGGATGCAGTGAAGATCCGCTCGACCAAGACCCTATGCGATATGCAGAGCTGGATCAGGCGTTGCACACTCTGGGGGGTTATGTACTCTTGGCGGTACATGTTAACCGGTTTTGCACCTCCACATAACAAAACCCGATAATCAGCAAAAAAATTAATATATAAAAAACTACTGAAAAAGTGCTGAAAAAGTTTTGAAAAATGCCATCATGCGTACGATAGAATATAGATTATTCGTTCGATGGAGGGCGAAATTATTCGATAGATTATTCGTTCGAAGAATCCGTGTTCGGTTTAAACACTAATTTCTAGTACATGTACCTGTGAACTCTGGCTGGCTTCGCGTGCACATACTGACTGTACTGGTGTCCTTTTTGAACTACACGTACCACTTTGCGCGGCTTTCATTCAGTAAGTCCAGTAAGTTCATGTACTTTCCGTACTGACAAGCATCATCTTTCCTCCACGATCCCGGCGGAGGTCTTGTTGTTTGTTTTCTTCTTTCTGGTTCACTTACCTCTTTTCGTGACATTATAGCTTTCTGCTTGTAGCCAGTCGGTCTTTCTGGTCGTGAGGAACTTTTGGTATCACGTTCGTCCTTCTCTCTGACAATTGTCCAAGCTGTAGTTTTTGTCTAGTCTGGTCTGGTTCTGCCTCCAACATGTCTGTACGACAGAGTACCTTTGAGAAGTGGGTGGCAGAGGTCGATGTCCAGAAGAAATGGCTTGGTTCTGAGAAAGCTACAGGTGCAGCGGTGACGCTAATTTTCTGCCAGCTATGCAGACAGCATGAGTCCTCCCTCCGTGGACTGAGAAATTTTAGTCGGTCTTCGTGGAAGAAAAAGTGCTAATCAAAAATCAAGGACTGCTACGCATTTTGGCGTTTGCGTCGCGAAAACTGCTATGCAAAAAAATGACAGTAAATTCATCCCTGAACTTATAAAATCAGCAGTGCAGAAAGATACAGCAAGGAAACCACCGCATTCACAATCAGAGCAATTATATTATACAGAAGGCGGGTGGGCAGTCCCTTGATGAGCAAGACAAAAAGAAGGACAATCTTTTTGCGCAAGCGCTGTTTCACAGCGCTCGCTCAACAACGATTACGTCACTACAGTGACGTCAAGCTGCACTGCGTGCCACAACAAAAATAATACAGATAGCAAAAAAACAAGCTTCGCAAATATTCGAAGTTCGAGAGAACATTGCTTCTCATTTCTTTCGAATTCTCAGCCAACGAGAAGCGTACACATCTATATCACGGTCTCTTTCATGACATTCATGAGCTCTGAGTGCAAGTACGCTCTCAAGTTTGTGTGTGTGTGTACGTCCATGTCTGTGGGTCTTTGGACCTTCCAAACGTCCAAAGTGCCTATGTGTTTGTAATTTCTAAATTTCATTTATTATTTATTTATTTCTGCACCTCGTAGCATGTCAAGACAGCCAATTGAATTGAGGAGAGGGTGAGACCAACCACGGAAGAAGAGTAAAAAAGAAAAGAAAAGCATGTACACAAAAGGGTAGGGATTAGCAAGTTACAAAGCAATGGGATGCCCAGCGAGCTATGCAGCGGAAGTGGTGACTGTGATTTTGTTTACTGGAAGATACTGAAGTGCTGTCTGACGAGGGTATGGAATTTTGGCTCAACATCCTCAACTCTGAAAGTTTCATTGCACATTGTTTTGGCAACACCAGGACCCAGGGAGAAAGTGATAGCAACCCACCTGATACAGTCATAACCTGCAGGCGTGTTGCTGGTGAGGGGCACAGGGACAGGTGCACCCCCCCCCCCCACCCCCCCCCCCCCCCCGAAAACAATTCGACCTATAGACTGTTGTGAGCATGCGCCACACACTCGACTTCTGCTGCAAAGAGCATGCAGGCTGCATACATTCAGTGTACTAATAGTAGTCTGTATGGTGCATTATGTAGATGATGCACACGAGGCGTGGTTCAGTACTGGTGGTCCATGGTGGTCCAATCCTTCAGCTCTACATTTATTTGAAGAAGAGATTGGTGCAACTTCGCCGATACTTGGGGAATTGTGTGTTGCTCCCTACATGGGAGCTTGCGCTATTCCCGCCGACTTGAATTCTCACTTGACTGACTCATGACTGCCATCCAGAGCACACAAGAAGTCCATCGAACCTTCCACTCGGCAAACCTGCAAGGGAGCACCACTCCCTGCTCAATACACAGTGTCTCGGTGAATTCACCCCTCATCAGTTGAGCTTGAGTAGGCTGAAGAAGATTGTGCCTCAAGATTAATTAATTTCATGGTTCGCGTGAGACTCGGCTGGAAGCCAGGTTTTCCGCATCCGTAGGAACGCCACCACCCTTCAAGGATCAAGGCGCAGATGCAGCTCCTAAAGCGGTGAGAGGTGAGTAGATCAGCTCACCAGCAAGTGGTCAAAGACCGAAAATCCCATTCACTGCATCCATGTTTTCCTCGTGTCAGGCCACGAGTTCCCAATTAACTGTGGGTCGCAGCACGGCTAGAAAAAATCCTTCCACTTCCAAGCAGGACTTGAACCTGGTACCCTCTGTTTCTCAATCATGGTCTTAGACCATCCCACTATGCCTGCCTGTAGAGCACCACTTATATATAGTGCTCTCCAGGCACAAACATCACCAGGGATACAAATTTACAGGGGCGCTCCCTTTCCAGCGTGACAAACACCTCGTGAACACTAGATAGCAGCGTGAGTCAGTGTCGCTCATGGAGGTGCTGAGCAAACGCTGAGGACCGTTGGCCATTCACAACGTTGTTGCCTCCAAACCATCTAATTCGCAAGCCCGCGCCGGGGACAACAATGTGAAGAAGATGTTGGTGTGACTTCGGCGATACTTGGGGAATTGTGTGCATTTATTATATACATAAATCCCAGTTATAGACCCACAGAAATTAATGGGGGTTTGAATTTGAATTATTTATTCTCACGATGGCACTATCGCCAATAAGAGATAGGGTTAATATGAATACTGTCATCGTATAAGTATATTGCTTCTAGCACTGGAGGACATGCAGGCAGGCACAGTGGGTTGGTCAAAGACCATGATTGAGATACGAGAGGTACCTGGTTCAAGTCCTGCCTGGGAGCGGTTTTTCCAGCCGTGCTGCTACCCACAGTCAACTGGGAACTTGTGGCCAGGCACAAGGGGTACATGGATGCAGCTAATGGGGTCGTTCTCGGCACTTGTGCCAGTTGTTGTGAGACTTATCCACTCACCCCCACCGTTAGGCGCTGCATCTGCCGCTAGGGTTTACCGGGTGTTAGCGGCCGTCGTGAGTTACCTTCGGGAACGGACACGATAATTTACTTTTTACTTACTTACTGGAGGATAGGAACATGGGGGTAGGTGGTTGTGTTCAGGATAGTTATTTACGAGTATTACGGGCATGCCACCTCGTCTTCCTCCTCTGTGTAATGAGTTTACCAGGTTTGGGGCAAAAGAAAGCATGAAGTATGAAAGGACATTCCAAACACAGAACATTCAAAAGAGAAGAATTTTTGCGCCACGTGACTGAGAAATCCTATACCAAATCCTCAACCCAAAATGGCCATTTGGTCCAAAAATCCAAATATTGCCATTGCGATTGTGCGTCCTTAGGGAACAAAGGATGATATGCAGTACTCAGATATTTCTATCTCCAGATATTTGGTCTCCTGTCTTTGCTTCTGGACTTCTCTGAAATCCAGTTCACATCTGGCTGCGACCACATACCCCTCGAATTTATGTGCGGTTGCCCTCATTGTCTATGCCCCTGTGTATGTTTATTATAGCAATAAGTAGAATTAGCAAGGCGGACATTGTACGTAGCAATAACAAAACTTTGCCATGATAAAGGTCTTGTCTCTGTGCCGGCGTTTTGTATGTCTCTCTGTACCAGTATACATGGTGTGAGAAGTTTAGTATAATATTGGTACGAGTTTGCCTCTGCTCTCGATCAGGTCAAATTATTCTAGTTGGCGAAGGAAATCTGTTCAGATTCCAACATCCTCAAGAAGCTGCACAAATGAGACAAGACCTACGAGACAGGGTACGTATGAGTTCTGAATTGGCTATAGTCATCAGCAGTCACACATCTTGCCACTGCCAGACAAGAAGGTTGGTGAGATTCGCCTAGGTACTGGTCTAAGACTATTTCTAATCTTGGCTATGGGTAGATCACAGCATGGAAGTTGTATCTATCATGATTGTGTTTGAGAAGAATAGTTATTGATAACTATTATGTCAAGTGCCTTACCTACCCCAGCTCCACAGGTTTTGTTGTGTATGGCATTGTCAGGGAAAGGTCTTTAGTGCATGTTCATCAGATCTTGCCATGACTGTAACTCCTGCTTGGTTCCCTTGCTAGGTGCTGCTATGCTATGCTTGCTTTGTTTTGAATTATTTCTTGGGCATTGAATTTATTGATTTGTGTTCGACTTGTCTTACCTGTGTCTACGTAACTTGCTCTGCAGTATCCTTGATCGTTGTGTTAGGCAATTGCCCAGATTTCGTAGCATCCATGCTGGATTAGTCCGTAGACTGCTCTGCTGCACTATTTGACGGCGTGGTTACGTTCCTTTATTTGAGTGTGAGATACAACAGGTTTGATTTGTGTAGTGCCAATACTTCATTCCCAATCTATGCGCAGTAGGGGCATGGAAACAAGGGTGACCATTACGTAACTATGTCTGTCATCTTTGCAGGGAATACAACCCACTAGTGGATTCAGCACACCAGCCAGTATGATGTATGCGCCTATGTAAGTCTATGCTATGGACTATGGATAGCAGCACATGACAGGGGAATGAGACACGCTACCGTCACTAATATCATATCATTATTTACCTCTCCGCGTTCGCATCAGGGTGTGGTACTACAAAATCAACAAATCGACATAATACACATCCACCCCTAGCATTCGCTCAGGCCCCTCAACAAGCCAGAAGACAGTAAGGACAAGAGAAAGCGAGGGCAGGGGTACAGAGCAGCGGGGTCGAAAGAAGGAAAAACAGGAGGCAAAGGATATGGAAGAAATGTATCAGATTGTCCATTCCGTTCACTTCATACATCATGTCATGTTCCATTTGGGCAAATCCGGGCATTCCTCTGCAGGCTCAGGTGTGGAATAGCCGCCGCCACATTGCTCTGTCCTGTGCCAGATCCCTGATATAAAACAAAATAATTATAATAATAAATTATGATAGATCTTCAACCGTCTGCAGCTTCATTCCATTTGATGCGAGGTCCGTTCTCAGTGTTGTTGGGAGTGTGGAAAGCGACCGACCACAGAATTTGTTCTCGTCCTTTGTTTGTCGGAAGTAGGACATCATGGCCATTTGTGCTGGGGAAATCAATCATAATGTTCAAGAATAATTCACGTCTGCTTTTTAAAATGTACTGCCATTTCCAAAATTGCACCTTTTCAGTGCGGATGGCAACTTTGGAGATCAACACTCTACACTGTTAATCGTGGTTCATGAATAATTATACAGTCGCGTGCAAGTTATCCAGCACCCTCAGGACCAGACACAGTTGGATAAATGAATATATTGGACTGTCCCTGCGGGAATTTGTGGAAAATCCTCAAAAACTTGCGCAAGAAATTGCGGCAGAAAACAACAAAAATAATGTGGGGAAATCGCGGATTTTTCAGAAATCGCGGGTTTTGGCCAAAATGTCTAAATTTGTTGCATCTGTGGAATCGCGATTTCCTGGAGGGACAGACTGGATAACTCTACTGTAAAACGGCTAATTTTAGCACGGGTGAGATTTTAGCGAAAATGCCGGCTTTGAGTATCAAAGTGCCCACGAGGGCACATGCGCAGTGATGGTCTCATGATGCATAATTATCATTATTATTCTGCGCCGAGTATGGTCTGTACTTTCCATTTTTCTCACTGCTGCTACTGTAGCCTTTATACGCGCTGCAGTAGAGAGTTGAGTGCAATTTTTTAAGAAGAGCTGTTCCTTGTCAGGCTGGGATTTTCTCTACAAGAGAATCAGTTGTGCTAGGCTGCGTCGACAAGCGCTGAGCTGGAAGCGCTTGCGAATTCACACTGACTCCGAACAGCGATCGATCGCGCTTGGTTGAAATATTTATTTGTTGAGTGGGTAGATCTCTATCTACCCACTCAACATCGTCGCAACATCGTCGCAGTAGTGAATTTCCAGGAGTTCATGAGGCCAAGCAAAGACGCAGCAGAGGACCAGTTATTTCGGCCTCGACATAGCGACTGGCGTTGACGCCAACTCGGAATTGGCTGTGATTACCTGCCAAAAATCTGGCCAAAGAAGTAGACAAGGAGCAGAGCTATTTACATCGACAACGTAGGATGGTGATTTTAGCATGCTACTACTGCTGGAGCGACTTTGAGTGCAGGGACGATCGTTGATCATCTACGTATCAGTTGTGGTTGTCAAACGCTTGCGGCCTTCGATGTGGATATGAAGATTTTATGATGACGGTGTGTTCGTTATGCACCATCTCTGCTGTACACATGGCATTACACTATCTCAGGGAGAAAATCGTCAACCCCCGTCGTTCTGGGTATAAAACTATTCCTGATAGCTGTGCTGGCCAGCACAAGAACCAGTACGCTGCACTAAACTAGGTGCTTATGTTATCTTGTGCTTGATGGTCAATGGAATGAGTTTAACTGAAAGCAACGATTCTGCAGGTATTTGACAACCTCGGTATCCCAGTCGCCACTGGCGCAGAGAAGGTGGTTCGCCCAGCACCAGTAGTTACGGTACTTCACATAGAAGTCGACAGCATGGAGCAGGTTATGGTCATGAAGACCGAAACGCTGAAACGATACTTCTAATGGATTTGTGTGAAATGCAGTGCTCTCTTGAGTGTAGGCAGGTTGCCTGCAAACTATTGAAGTGCAATGAAGCTGCTGAAGCTGCGTGAAGCGAAGCGTCCAAGTTCAAAATGTTGTAACATAACTTGATTCCGCATTTTTCGGATGATGATTGGAGCCTGCTGCTGAAATTAAGTCAGCCCGCATTATTTCTGCGACCGTCAGGCGAAATAGCAACTTTATATAACTTGTGCTCAAAAAAGAATAGAATGGGATACGGAGCTTGGGTTGGCTGTGACTCAGAGTTTCACGCCTGTGGCGATCATCAGACAGCAATGATTACAAAAACTCAATGAATGTTCTTGATATAGTGTGGTAAGGTGCTAGTGGAATCAGAGAATTTAAGCGCAAATAAGGTCAAGCGGTGATTCTATGCATGTACTTGCAAGATCAGCGCCAGACGTCAGGTGTAATTCTGCTTTATGTGACTGGGGGTGTGAAGTTAAATAGGTAGAATTTGTTCTCATGTCTGCACTTGGCCACTAGCTCCGATCGCTTGTTGATGTTCACCCTTCTGTCAGCATGCAAGATCTCCAGCTTCTCACGCAGACAGAGAGGGCAGCGCTTGGTGGCATTGGACTATGCTGGTGTTTGGGCGACAACTGACCAACTGATGCTGTACCCGGCATTCTTGCGCTTCATGTCCCAGATGAGCTTCGACAACTCGGTACTCTTCTCCATTCGCTCATGCCTCATTGACGTCATGTGTCCGTCGTATCGCTTCTTGAACGTCATTTCCGTTAGGCCGAGGTACTCATTTCGTTCGTCATTTCCGGTTTCTGTCACGCTGGCCTTGAATACGATTGACTGGATCGGGCAGTTTCCATGCATGGGGCAGTTAACTTTATCCCTGCAGTTGCATCTTTTCTCTGTTCTCTGTTGATCATCTTTCTGCTTCTTCCGCAAGACCGAATTGTTGTGCGCCTTTAGTACACCCGACATGTTCTGCATGCAGCTGTAACTTACTTTTACTGTGTTACTGTTGAATATTTTGTTTAGGCATGAGCGAGGTGGGAAAATGCTTCTCGACGAGGTGTAAGAATCTTTCCGCGACATTCGTGGCTACTGTTTTGCTGAACGGAGGAATGTACCAGATGATGTTTCGTCTGCGGTTTTTCTTCTTTTTCCCTGCTTCTTTTTCTCTCTCCTCCATGTACACGATCTGCTCGGGGTAACCGCTGGCCTTGAGCGCACTATTATACAGAGGTGCCGCCTCCTGGAAGATGTCTCTGTTGGACGAAATATCTGTCAATCGTCTGCTGATAGACTTGGGTATTTGTTGGATGATAGTTGGCGGGTGGTTGGATAGTGTGTGGACGTACATCGGCGTGTCATAGTTGGCGGGGGGTTGGATAGTGTGTGGACGTACATCGGCGTGTCAGAGATATCATCATGCATGCGTGAAAGTCGCTCCTGTTTAGTAGTGATGCAGCATGGATGAAAAAGGACGGAGAGATATCATCATGCATGCGCGAAAGTAAATTCGCACTCACACACACTTGCACATGCATGTCCTTTGTCACACTGCACTTGCTGAATTTCCTATCATTTCTCACCTCACCTATAGTTTATATTACCTGTGCAAATTGTTCCTAGGTTTGTGCTATTTTTCTTACTATGCTTGTATCCTCGCTGTTTCACTCCAAGTGTATAAATCCTATTGTAGTTTCATCATTCTCTTTAGTCACGAATTCCATTGATAATTGTGACAAGAAAACGTTCTGGAATACATTATTCGTCCCCATGGTTGTGATATGAGTGCGCATTTAGTTATATTCATTGCATTATTAAGATTTACAGGGTGCGACAGAGCTCTCGGCCATTGAAGAAAATGTTGAGTCACCTCCGCCATTACACTGCGCTCTTTAGCCGACTAGACCCTCCTGCAGACAACCATCACCATTGCGAGGACACTTCCGTGGACGATATTGATAAACTCCTTCAGACAGCTGTTTCGCTAATACATAGCTCATCAGTGAAGGTAGATGTTGAATGATTAAAAATATAAACCAAACTGCTATTTTATAGGGGGTTTCCACATACAAAACTGGCATAGCTGAGGTGATAACGCGGGAAAAGGAAAGTGTGAAGTACTGTTGACGCGCATTGGACATGCATGCAGCGTTGGAAATTCGGCGCGGAAAATCAATCACTATTCAATGCAGAAATAACGTGCCAGAATCAGAGTACTATGTAGCTAGTGAGAGTCTGTGTACTAGTATTGCAGTTGTCCGAGCGCCATGAAGGCCTGCGAACGCACCTCACGACCCGCCGACGTCGACAGTCACAGCAGCCCCTGGGGCATGACACTGTACTGCTCGCCCGTCGCGCCAAGACGCTTGGCAGTCACTAGGCTTCATGGCACCGATGTTGTCCGCAAGCTACCTTGTTATCTGCCCATCACCCACTGCCGCTGACACGCTGGGAGGCCCCGCGGCATTCGCCCAGTATATCGTCGTCAGAGCTGTGTCGACGGCACAATAACGCTGGTAGAAACAAACAGTTGGTCGTATGGTATTGCGTCCTCCGGATTGTCCCTTGACTCGTCTTGTCCCTCTTCTTGCTCTGACGCTAACGGCGCACGTATCATAATTATTAGGGTGCGACAGAGCTCTCAGCCATTGAAGAAAATGTTGAGTCACCTCCGCCATTACACTGCGCTCTTTAGCCGACTAGACCCTCATGCACACAACCATCACCATTGCGAGGACACTTCCGTGGACGATATTGATAAACTCCTGGCGGAGGTGACTCAACATTTTCTTTTTTTCAACATTTTCTTCAATGGCCGAGAGCTCTGTCGCACCCTGTAATAATTATGATACGTGCGCCGTTAGCGTCAGAGCAAGAAGAGGGACAAGACGAGTCAAGGGACAATCCGGAGAACGCAATACCA